TCAGTTCACAGGGTTGTTGTGGGGAAAATAGGAGGAGGAAGGAGTATTAGGCATGTTTGCTGCCTTGAGTTATTTATAAAAATAATAAAGGCGGGATAAAAAATGTTTTAAAGAAGTTTCTCTTTTCCAATGTTGTGGCAAATTGTAGCTGTCAGCATGTATCTTAATACATTGTGACTTATTTCATATGTTTTCTGGAATTACACCTAACAGAAATATTTATGGTTTTGGTTCAAATTTTATTTTTAGAATTTTCTGAATATTTTATTGTATTTCTTTTCAGTATTTTTGATTTTTTTTTACATGACCACCATATATGATAAAATGTTCCTTTTTGTTGTGGAATTTACAGTATATATTATATGATTTGTTTATATTGGTAATTATTGATGGAGTTATATACCATCCGTAAAACATTTTATACCAATTTTCCCTTAAATTGTAGCTTGGAGTAAATTTTATTGATTCTTTTTCCATATTTCTTCCCATCATTGTACTGTGATTACTTCTTTGTTGTTTTGCATCCACTTTATCATACAATTAATTTGTTCCATCTCTATGTCATATCTCTTTCTCTCTCTCTCTCTCCCCCCCCCCCCCCCCCCTCCAAGTAGATGATCTTGGTTTTGTATAAGTGTTTCAAGTTCTGTCAACTTTTTCAGGGTTCTTGCTTCTTTCTCAAAAACACGTCTTCCAGCAATTTGTAAATACATCAGCCATGGCAAATTCCTACCTTCATTGAGCAATTCTTGCTGTGTCTTTAATCTGTTTTCTGAATCTGGACAATGCTGGGTGAAGGGTATATGGTGTCCCTAGGCCACAGTGACTGATGGCACCACCTCCTGCCAATGTGATTTGCATTTTTAGAATAATTCAGAAGGAGGGGTAGCATTGCCCTCAGCCAGCTTTGGCACCCTAGGTCTATTTGGCCTTAGCTTAAAGCTGGCCCTGCGTCTAGATGGGCATATGTAATTAATTCTTTCTTGCTGTAGTTGTCCCTGAAATAAGAGGCATTTGATGGTGAAGCTAATAATAAGACCACTGGGCTTATCCTTATACATACACACACACACACACACACGTAGTTCCCTTCAAATTTGCTCGTAACATTCCCTGCACACACATTAAGCCATGATGTGGTTGGTTTGCTTTGGCTTAGTATGTTTTGGGAATACATCGTCTAGATTACAGGTAAAAATAATTTGTCACTAAAAGTGTCTTAGCTACATTGGCATTACATGTAAGATTCTTTTAGTTGAGATCTTTTTGGTCTAATAAATGTAGTGACATACAAAGGTACATTAATACTAGCATGTGCTTTTAAAAAAAACACTAAGGTCTTAAATAGAAACAAAATGACATAATAATACAGTATTGTGACTGCATACTTATATTTCTTGTGTTAATGAGCCACTGGGTTTAAAAAAATGGATACACTGGCCACCAACCAAAGTTCAACATTTTTAATACCCATCCATTTCAATGGGGAGGATTTAAGCATTTATTTTAAAAGTACATTTAAATCAATAAAACGCTTCACTTGATTCAGATCATTCCCAGTTAAAAGAACATAATTCAACTCTTTTACTCTAAAGGATGGTTTTCATACTAATATTGTACCCTAATAAGCTCACTCAACAAACCAAAATAATTATCCATTTGAATGGTGTTTAGCCTATCTTTTTATTGTGAACAGACATTTAATTTAAAATTGAACACTGATTTCCTCCCAGCCCCCCTCTTTGGCTGGCATGAGACCCTTAACAGTGTGGGAGCATTTTCACCCAGCTGAACCAAAAATTACATGAGTGGTAAATGTCAAGGCAAATTAGGAACTTGAATAGGAGCTGTATTGAATCAGGCAAGCAGCTTCCTGCTTTGTCCAGCAGCCAACCAGATGCCTCCAACCCCCCCACCCCCCCAGTAATTGCTCTCTCCTACTGTTGCTTCTGGTGGATTGAGAAATGGAGGTGGTGCCCAAGAGGGTCAGGAAGATGGAAAGTACAGTCTCAATTTATGCCAGTTCTGTTTTGCTACTGGAGTCTTGTTGCCATAAGTCTTGGGCATATTTTGAAGGCACTTTGCAAGTGAACCCTTAACTTCTTTGACAGAAGTCTGACCCTTTGGGGGCAGCCTGCTACAAAGTGGAAGGGAAGGAAGCATTGCTGCTTCTACCATAACTATGCAATATTACCTCCAGCAGATTACTCCTGCAGGAATGTGATCTTCAACAGAAAAAAAGTTGCCCACCCTTGGTTATTGAATTATGATGCAGCCATGCAAAAAGGTCCTTCCTTTACTGTGGCTTGGTCTTAAGTTCAATGAACACTAAGGAGCAATTGGCTATTCCAAGCATCTGGAATCTCAATCATGGCCACCTGCTAGAGTGGAGTCTTCCAGCACACAATTGTGGGAAGAGCCAGAAGGAACAATTTTGTATTTGCCTGGCAGAGACGTGACTCAGAGCTGCAAGGAACAGGTGGAATAATGTTGCTTTGGGAACAGCAAAGTGATGAGCGTGCTTGTGTTTCCACCCCTGCAGTGTGAGCTGAAAAGAAACAGATTATAACTACATTCACAACTGAGCCAAAGTCAAACATTTCCAAACCCGAGTTATTTTGAAGCAAGAGTGCCAGCAGGGGCATTGTTCTCTTATTGGGAGGAACTACAGTATTAGGTTATGTGGGCTACTCCTACTCCCTGCTTATGATAAGTGCACGGTTACACCCCTCAACTTCCATGCCTTTATTCATTGTGAGAAAGGACCTGGGTGCCTAGAGCTATTTTTTTCCACACTGGTCATGTGCATGGACAGCAGGGATGGATTTCCTGCAGTCAGGAGAAGTGTGGGGCTGTTCCCCTCATTTTTGCAATAGATATTGGGGGGGGGCTATCCGAGTGTCCTTCATGCTGAGGAACCGGAGACCATAGAAGAATGCACACAGTCCTGAGACAGAAGAACACACAGTGAAGCTGTATTTGAAATATTACTGAGTACAGCTAACCAGGGGAAATAATTGAAATTATGACTGATTGGTACATAGCAGTAAATTAGTATACCACCAAAGAAACAGCCACCTTACTTGAAACAGTTTGTATGTGCTACCTAAATAAGAAACATGCAAAGAAACAATAGAAACATTGTGTAAAGTCATGGAAAACTGATGCAGTGGTTCTTGCATATTCAATCTGTTTTGCAGAAACCTTTCCCTGCTTTCAGGGAGCTTTTTCATATTTCATATTTTGAGCATTTAAGCTTACCAATTGATTTTATCAAGACTATTAAAGAAAAGCTACACCCAACTTTTGAAGCAGTTGTTTATCTCCAATGTTTGACATCTATATAGCTGCTACTGGTATTGCAGCTGAAATAAACTTACTTCTGTTCCTCTTTTCAATTGCTACATTGCCAAGAAAAAAGAAAGCAGTGGAGAACATAGGTTCCCTCTCATCAAGAAAGGTAATATGGAGTTTGCCTACCAACCTTCTTTAAAAAAAATTAAACTCTTCTGTTTACAGTCTATCATAATCGTTTTAATTGGAGGATGGAATCAAAAGGTTACATGACAAAACAAACATTACCTCTGAAAGGGATAGATCCTCTCACTGTAAGATAAAAAGAGGGGAACCAGGGAAATTAAAACAGGATTTTGTTACCAAATGAAATGTGCTGAGACAATTGCTCTGCCTTTTTTAAATTAGATATTATGCATTTAGAGGATGGCAAAGTTGTCACAAAGTAGTGCACTGAAAAGCACTGCATAACTGTTAAACAGTTTACAAAGGAAAATAATTTATTTTTGGGCAAAGTGGTTTATCACTGCTTTCTTTCAGAATATTTTTCTCAACTTTACAGTCTAGCCTACAACCCTGGGAATTCTGGGTGGTATCCTATCCAAATACTTATCATTTGAAACTGTGCTTTGCTTTTTTTTTTTTTAGATCAACCAAGGGCACTTAGCTTCTGCTGTCTGCTGTGATATAAAAAGTCAAGGTTGATTTGAGGGACTTTATTTTAAATTATCTATTTAAAACCAGAAAGAGAAAGAAAGAAAGAGTCCATGTATTGCTTGATTTTTTTTCCATTTGTCTTCCAGTCAGACAAGTTTATTAATAATAAGATTGTTTCTCACAATCATTTTCTTCCTCTTTTGCAACACCTTATGCAACTTTCCGTAACTTAGGAAAAGTTCCACTGGTATGATACAGGATGTCATATCCCATAATTCCAGCAAGAGTTTTGTCATAATTTCAACCAGCACCAAGTTGGGAAGGAATAATCTTTATCCACCCCACTTGCCCTTAAGATTTTTGACTATTCAGTTAAGTTATATCTGCAAGTGGGACAATATAATTCCTTACAGTTCCAATTATGTGTCCATATAAAAACAAATGGTAATCACACCCTAATCACAGCATCTCCTGGCTCAAACAAGATTGCTCCATTTTGACCAGAGATACAAAGCTGTGTCTTTCAGCAGGAAACAAATAGCCTGTTAAAAAGTCCCAGAGTATGAATTATCACATTCTTGCATCTGATTTATTAAAAAAAAAAATTTTTTTTTCAGCAATGAAACTAGTAGTTAATGCACAGATGAAAACTGTGTGCTGTAGTACCATACACCCCATGATTTAAAAGCATTATGAATGTCAAGAATGTAAAGAGGTCAGAACAGCCTTTATCCCACCCCTACAGCCCGCCCACAAATAAAAAATCTATGTGAAGGTCCATTTGTTAAGCAGTGTGCCCAGAATTTGGGATTACATTATATGTCGATTGCACCACAGAATTAGGAGCACTGAGAAAAGAGAGCAAAGGCACATGGTTTTAGTCACTTGTGCTGAGGATATGTTTTGCAAAAGCATCACCATGTCCTTTAAAATAAATTAATTCTTTATGCTACTTGTTCTTCTACAGAATTAAACAGGGGGAAAGATAAAATGCATTTCGATATTGGAGGGAAAAAAAGCCTAGGATTTGCTTATTTGTTTAATTGTTTGCCACACACATCATTTACTGTTCATAAGTTTCTATCTGGCCTTAAGACCACATCTCTGCACAGAAATGGAAATCTTTCTGATGGGAGGTTGCACATTCTTAATGCCAACATTGACATTGGTTATTTCCCATTTCTTCTGGGGATGTACAGTATGTGTTGTTTTGATGGAATTAGTGCAAGAATTTGCTTGGAATTCATGCTGTTGTCAGGATCATGTCATCTTGAGTCAACTAATTAATCCATCTAATTTAGTATTATTGAGATTGACAAATGCTAAGTGAAAACAAGAAACTACACAACGCGTTAATGTGTAAACTTTATTAAAGCATGATTCTTTTGGCTCTGATTTAGCATGATGGTGAAACTAGTCATTGTGATTTATAACCATGCTTTGTGGCTTATCATGTGTGATGCCGTCCACTGTAAAGCCTTCAATAAGATAGGGTTAAAATAAGCCAAGCCTTAGTGCAATGTATGAACCCAGCCATTGACTGGCAGTAGCTGTCTGGGTTTCAGATAAATGTTCTGCCAGCTCCCCCTGAAGATGCTAGACCCTGAACACTGGAACTTCTGATCTACCATTAGTTATGATTTCCCCATGTTTAGGCGCACACAGCAATTATTAGGAACCCAAATAATCTATTAAATTTCTAGATCTCGAAGCATCCATTGCAGGATGCATGAGTAGACAAATATATACAAGTCAAGTGGCAAGTGACTAGTTTTAATTTATTTGATTATACCCCATATTTTAACTCAAGGTGGTTAACAAAAATTAAAACAAAAACATAATAGAAAGAATTAAAATACTGATTAAAATTAACTATAAAATAAATACTAAAATAATCTAATAATGAAAAATCTGGCAAAAGAGGAATGTCTTTACAAATTTCCTAAACACAGAGGGAGAAGGGGCCAAATGCAACTCATGGCAGAGTGCATTCCATAGCTTAGAAGGGCAGTAGAAGAAGGCCCTCTTTCATGTGCTAAAAAAAGGATATTTTGACATAGGGGCCATTTTCAAAAGGGCTGTGTACTTTTATATAAATGCACTGTCATGCACAGATGAATGCATGACAATGCAGGGAGACTGAATATTCTACTCGAAACTGTTCCAATTTAATCTCACACGCTTTCTTTCTTTTACTGGATGATTAAGAAACTGCTGAAGACTGCAAGTAAACATGATAGGCACAGGCTGCTGATAAATTCAGTGGTTTAAGCTTACTTCTATTTTCTATTAGCTATCAGTAGCATGTAAGACATTTACACAGATTTTAATCTGCACTGTCTTTTCAAATAAATGCATTTCACAAAGAAATAGTAAAGATAGTATCTGCTGAAAACCTCAGTAAACTTTCCATTTACACCCAAACTGCCATTTTAGATGAGGAAGGAAAACTGCTTTGAAAATGTTCATTTATGCTGGGAAGGGTTCAAGTCACAGCAAGATGAAGAACTGGACCATTATTAAACTTGGTTCATTTAAGATAAACCATAGTTTGTCCAAAGCCAATTCTGAGCTGCTCAACACATCAAGTGCTAACAGTGATTTGCAAACCACAAGGGCTGGGGTCACATGTTGCACAAAGCTCAAAATAAGCACCACACCGATAGGAATCACACAATGTACTAAGCCACTGAAGCCCTGTTTGATTTAGGTTTGATGTGTTGTGTGGACTCGGTTATCTATGGCTGGTAAGCAAAGCATAGCCTAGACCAGCCTTTCTTAACTTTTTTTTACCCTGGAGGAACCCTTGAAATAATTTTCAGGTCTCAGGGAACCCTGTATAAAATTATTATATCTACAGCTAGCACTGCACAGTCAAAAAACTTTTTTTTTCCAGTCATGATCTCTCATGAAACTCCACTTGAGCAAGGCTGACCTAGACAATATGAACTCAATCTACATCTCACAACAGCCACAAAGCTTTTACTTTCCTTTGCCAAGACTAAGGGACCTTCTTCCTTTTGTTACATTATCAGCAGAAGATGACAAACCACCACTATGCGCCTTTTTAGTTTCTGGATGTCACTGCTATTGTAATTCAACCCTGTTCTTGAAGATCTGTAATAACTCTAGATGTGCAGGGTTGGGGTTCAGTCCTACTGGTCTGATGTGCCCCACTATTAAGCACCTAGGTTTTCCCAACGGATCATCACATTCAAGTCTCTACTGAAGGGAGATTCCTTAGATTCAAGCTTTTAGATTCACTTGTGCTACTAATAATAGAAGCATAGCCATAAAGAGACTGTAGGAGCTCTAGCCTCAGGTTTCTCTAAGTATTCCTTAAAAAAAAAAAATTAAAAACCTTGGTTCCTGGAAAACCTCCAAGTCCTATACAGTCATTCAGCTAACTTCCCATCAATTGAAGTAATTATTTTCCACAGATATTCTAGAGCTTCCCAGGCCTCTTGAATCAGGATAGTCATTGTACCTTTGCTTAAGTAAGGAACAATAGGTGGGAAGTGGAATGTTCTCACTTTGTGCTCCACCATGCAACTCAGGAAGGGGGAGAAAGGGAAAGTGGTATTTTCTGCCAAATGAAATGTTATCAGTCATTTGCTAGTCTAGTAGTTTTGAAGCTAAGGCTTGTCCTGATATGATAAGCAGCCTAGGAGGCTGGATGAGGAAGAAAGATGGGGCTATGTCTTAACATAAATGTTAGACTCAGCAGCTTGGCTTTAACCATTAAATCCATTTAGGCAATACTTTTTTTACTGGCAAAATTAACCTTCTTTTAACAACTATAACTAGTGTTTGAACAACTAAGATAACGGTAGAGGTGATTCCTGAAAAATAAGGGAGAACATTTTAATACTGAGATGTGATATTTATAGATTAGCAACAAGACAGTTTTAAATAGAGCTGAGGTTAATGCTGAGTTTCTGCAAAAAAAAAAAAAGTCAGACTTCAGAGTTTGCAATGACTGTTCACATGGTAAAAAAAAGTTCTCAGTATGAGTCATGTGTTGCTATGTGAAAAACTTCATAGTTTATGGCACAAGAGTTCATCAATTTAAATACTGTTCTCTTTACTACATTAAAAAGATTCTGACCATATTTACAGTTATGACATCATTATCTTAAATAAAAGCCTAAACATTAGAGTATAATCATGTACCAAGCTAAACTTGAGATATTTAATATATTAAGGTGTAACTCAATCTCTTCTTCCCAAAACCTGCTTATAGTGTTAGGTGGACAAACAAACAGTTAAAAAGACTCTTATGTTTGCTTTAGCGTTTGCCATCCGTAAGCAGACCATCTTCATAATCACCAATTAATTGTAGCACGTACGTTCCGGTGTGGAGAAGAAGTTGCCCTGTTACTTGGGCAATCTGTGATAGAAAACGAAGCATCCTCCTGTGAAGCGGATAACATTTGGCTTAGTCCACTTGGCCAACTGGACGGTTACCAGAGCATGGATTACAGCAATGTGTTATCTGAGAAAGATGGTTCAGTTTGTACAAAGTAGTGCTGTTATAAGTAGCATTTTTTTGCTGTCCTCCTTTTCAGTTCTAGCCAATTTCAAAACGCTATCGCCCTCAATTGCTGGAAAGTTTGGGAGAAACTCATAATGGAAGCAACTCCTTCTCTAATACAGATTGCATTCTAAGGTCATCTGCAGCTGACTTTAGATTCCTGTGTCAATGATGTAAGACAGTCTTTTCTGCTGTGGCTTCAGCTATGGGACATTCTACGGAGATTTGCCTGAAACTAACAATATTTCCTTTTAATAAAAGCCTGATTAACACTGCATTTTCAGTTTTGGTCTAATAATTTTTCTGTTGATTTGCTGTTGAGTGTAGTTTTATACATATGCACTGTTCTATAATTTAGATATTAAGGGCAATTAATATATTAATATTAGCTTGAATCTCAAAACCCGGTTTTTACCTGTTTTGGGTTAATGTATTGTACAAATGTAATAGTCAGTTTTGGCTTATAATAAACAATGGTTAAACTTGCTTGATGTAATGTACAAAATAGTCACAAAAATCAGTTGCTTCTTTAAAAAGAAGTTTCTGCCACATTTGAATATCTTATTCTGTTAACAAAGCGTTTTTCTGCCAATCAAGTTATTACGGTTGCTGATAGAAATTATTGAAATAAATTATTTTAAGATTAGGTTGTCCTTTTAAGATTAACATGCTATAAATCAAGCCAGGAACCTGTCTTAATAACCCCAAAGCAACTCTTTTTCTAGAGATTTGCCCCATAAAAGTCACTGTCTTAATTTCATCATAGACAAGTGTCAGTGCCGGACACACAGTAATATTTTTTTAGATTTAAAAATATTAATGTGTAAGTTACAAGTTCCATTTCACTCTGGGAAATGTATTGCCATTCCCATTCAACAACAGTTACACACTAAGTTCTCACATGATAAGCTATAGGCACTACCACCTCAATATCCAAGACTTCAAACATTTTCCGTTGCTAATTCTTTAGTTCAACTCAGATGGATTATTTAAAAGGTCATGTTAGCATATTTATCTATTGCTACACATTATGTTCCCATTGTAAACTACATCAAAGTAGCAGAATTACTGACTCCCAATATTTTCTCAGTTTAAGAAGTGTTTTATGAGACTGCTTACTGGACTGCAGTTGCTTTTTACATGCCATTATAAAAATGAAGGTTTAACTCTTTCACGACCTTAGACAATGACATTTGGCATTTAGTTTCTATAGCCTTAACTATTTGCATAGCATTTGTATAGAAAGAGTTAAAGTAGAAAGAGGCTGGCGCAATTGTTAATATTATACTGAGTTGGGCAGCATACAAGTTTAATAAACTATGTTTTCAACACTTTTAGTTTAAATGAAGGCAAGCATGGAGCTAGCATTCAATAAACTGAGGCTTATCAAAATTATTTATGATCTCAACAAAGAATTTTTGTTCTTCCTATTGCACCAGAACTTGGATTTAACACTAAACATCCAATATTGTTCAGCTAAACTATGGAAATAAATAAGCCAGTGATTCTGCTTGAGATAGTTTGTTATCCTTACATTCCACACTTCCTCTAAAAAACTCAATGCACCATGTTTAGATTCAGCCATCACTATCACCTCATAACTACCCTTGAAGTAGGTTAGACAGAGAGATAAGTTGAAGAATGGTCTCCATGATTTATGGGGGGAGGCATATACCGTGATCCCTCCAGTTCAGTCAGATGTGTTCATATTTTATTTGTGACCTTTTCATAGGTACCTGGACCTGATAGGCTTCTAATCCAGGAGGGCTGCTCTTATGAACTTTGGCCTACTTAAGATAATAAATACCCAAGACTACACTTTGCCCTAGTTTAGCTTATAAGAACTTAAAGCCTTCCATAAGCTCTTGTTGCAGCCAAAGGTAGAATTTGCTATATTTCTGATTACATAAGCTATTAATGTTTTGTTAGAACATCTGTGATTATTTCACTTGCATATAAACATTAGAAATGTATACTTACCTTAGAACAGTTTTTGCTCCCATACACTTGATGTCATAGGACACAGAATAGATTTCATAGAAAGTAGCTTTGATATTCAGACAACCAATGAAATCCTTAGGATTCAGTTTGTACAAATCCAAAGTGATATTTGCTACTCCCATTTTCTTTGGTTGCTGTATTGTTGCAATACCATAATTTGGTCCCTATATCAAATGTAGAAAAACATGCACGAAACATTAGACTTTATTTACCCAAACATCTGCAATACCCATTATACTGTACTGAAAGTTTGGGGCAAGTCTAAGTATTTTTTCCCCCTTCTTTTAACTTGGAGATATGTGTTTAGACGCCATCCTTCCTTCAAAAACAGAAGTTTGACACATATTTCTCCCATAACTACAACAACAAAATGAATTAGGTTATAGTATTAGATAATAGCAGACCCAGTGTCATCACCATTATAAAAACAAGGCTTAAGCTTACATGGCTGACTAGTACTTTTTCTTCAGCTAAAAACAAGACTGAAATCTCATACATTAGTTTTCATTTCTGTAATAATATGGTGTTATGTTTGGAACAGATGGATTTGTCAAGGTATGTTTAATATGCTAAAGTGTTTGATAGCAACAAACTATGGCAATATATATAAACATTTACAAGTGTAAATTCAGGGAACTCAGTAAGGGAAATACTGGGAAAAGATATGGTTTAGAGCCAATACTCAGTAGGCAAAGTAGAAAGAGGTCTCAGAAGCTGGAATAGCTAAATAGTGAGACAAGTTAAGGAATCTGGATAACTCCTGTTCCTATTTAGTTCAACTCTTAGTAGTAGTAGTAATAAAATCTTAACTAATTCCACAGAGTAATTCAGAAAGACAGCCAGCTAGGTAAGAAAAATAGTAATGAATATAAGAAAATTAAAGCTTTCCTTCAAAAATAGAGCTGGCTAGACTTACATGGCACAAATCAAATGACGGAGTGAGGCAGGGAAGGATGAGGGCTAAGAAAAATGACAAAGAAACAGAGAAGAAGCTCATAAAAGTTTTTGGGAAGAGACTGATTCTGGGTCACTTTTATAAACCATAGAAAAAAAATTACAGTGAGCAGAGAAACATTGTTCTGGGCACACTTGTGTTGACCTTGAGGCCACTATTTATTTATATAAAACCTTCTATTCTGCTTCTCTGTCCTCAAAAAAGCTGAGCTGACACAACACAAGGCTCTGATTCTCCCCAATTCACTTCACTCAGTGAAATTTGTGGTACAGCTTCTGAGACAAATGCAGAAGAGAAACATACCAAGCTTCTTGTTGGTTGTAATGGACTACTTTAGAGCTGAACACTTACTGGCTTCCATTTCTGTCCCTTATCCAAAAGCATGAGTTGTGTATTATCCCCTAGTGACTGGAAGAAGTCTTCAGTATCCACCACTGTTCCATCTTCCTCTAGAACCAGTGTTATCAGTCCAGCCGTTATCATTAATGCATCCAAGGTCTACAGATGAAGAAGTACAAGAAATCTTAATTTTAAATGTCTCTTTATTAAAGCCATCCCATAAGACAGATATAAAGCATTTCTGATTTACTGCAAATAACCAAGAGAACTTTTGCAGTAGTTCTGCTTTGTACGTAAAGTAGAAGACGCATTTTAACATCTACCATACAGTCAAAATAAAGATCTTAATACTTCCTGACAGTATATTCAGGATTATGTAGTAAAGGTACTGCAAGCTATCTAGAGAATCTAAGCAGAAACTATCCCAGACATTTGGATCACAACAGAAACATTTAATGGAGCTGGAACAAGAACATTTAAGCGTGATCAGCAGGGTTATGTTTTTTTAGAGAGTCAAACCTTGTTGATAAGCTCCTGTAAACTGCTTGCCACAACTCCTCTCCGGCTGCTTCTGTCATGGTTACAAACACGGAAAGGCCGAGCTGCAGATGGAAGGGGAGCAAGCAAGGCTTGTCTTGTTACTGATCCTACTGATGTTCCCACTGATACTAGAGATCTGAAACAGAAATACAGTACTTCTTTATTGTAGTTCAATGTCCCTACTGACTGTGAAAGTTCCAATTAGCAGCCTTTACCAATCTAGAGCCACTGACATATTGTAGTCCTTACAGCTGAAATTCTTAGCCAGGGTGAACTGGCCACACTGACTTGAAATTCTGGGAGTTGTATTCCAGAAATATCTGAAGAAAAGCAGGCTGTAGTTTTCCCAAAATCTATTGCTAAATCTATTGCTATATGTATGGCTTCTTCCTTAAACTGCTTGTGGAATTACAAGCCCAGAAGGGTCTGGCGTGAGGTTCTTGTTTTTCAATGAAATACTTCAACTTTAGTTCTTATTTTAGGCCCACCCATTCTAGGAGCCACCTCTGACATGCACACAAAAGCCAAACACAGCCCTTGTCTGAAACTCCCTAACTTGGACCCATATTCCTTTTTGCAGAGGGAATGAAGACAACTCTTGGCACAGCTGGCAAATTTACTAATTTGATTCTAACTGAAAAGAATACCGCTTCCATTGTAACCAGTTTGTAGAATGTCTCCTATGTTCATTTTGGGGCAATTTCAGTAAACTGAATATGGCTATTTTGGTACAGACCATTAGAGTAATTGTTTGCAGACTCCCCTAAAGATAAATCTCATTTGGGGGAGTTTCCATATTAGTATTACATGTTTAAAATACTAATAACTGGAGTCCTTCCCAGCTTAGCTATGATGACCCACCAGCTGAAAAAGCAAAGATTTGAAACCATACTAGATTTTGCCAACCTAGCTTTAACGTCCAGTTAAAGGGACTAATGGATTATATCTATGATGGGATTTTTATTCTGGGCATAAGACTTCAGCAGAGTTTCTCCTACAAAATATATCTGAATTTGAACTAAAATTAGAAAGTTCACCAGCTTTTTATTAGCAACCAGTTAAACAGTTTAATGGATAAAGCTAATGCCTTTAATGCAGAGGCATGTAATTTGCAGACCAAATGCACACCCTGAACCCTTTTGTGGATCTTAAGGGCATAGCAAGAATGACATTAAATCCAGCTGCAGATTGCCAAAATCTGGTAGCATGCTTTTTCAGGAGTTTTTTACCAGGACACTTAAGAAAAAATGATCTGCTAAGCCATGTTTAGTGCACCTAAAAGAGGGAACAAAAACAAAATTCAGAGATTTTAAAAAGAACCCCAAAAGAACATTCCTCCCATTTTCAGGAAACTACCACCCGCAATGCAAAAGGTTTGTCAACCCCTGCTTTAAAGGAATGTCAAAGGAGAGTTGAGCTATTGTATGTAGGAAGTTGACCAACTGGTTAAATTAGCTAATATAATTCCTACTGTAAGATGTAATAATTTACAGATTAATTTATCCAGTGAGCTCTTACTTCTGGTTAATTTATAGGAATTTAGCCCAACATATTTGGAAGGTATTTGGTTAGAGAAAGTGGTTTTAGCCTTCACTTGATTGCCACTAAGTACAGACATTTCTTCAGGCAAAGCTGATGCCAATTATAGCAGTAAGATTCATGTCAGAGGGATATCTCTTTTGACTGATCACTCATGACTCTGTCAATGATGCAGTACAGATTTAAACATTCTTCCTTATATTGCCCCATATTTCTTAAGGCTCTTAATGAAACTATGTCTATTTGTTAGCCCAAGGCAAAATTTGCAGCAAATGTGCAGCAGCTTGCTTCTTAATAAGGTCCCATATGTCTAGAAGTGCAGCCCTATAATGCAGCATATTAACAACCTTTTCGCCCAAATTTCCTTTGAAGTTCCAGCTGCCATCGCCCCTAACATTTCTGTACTGGAATAAAAAAATATCTCAGCGCCAGTTCACGTAATACCATAGGCTCAAAACTCAGCCACAGTTTGTTACAGCAAAATGGCACCAAATTGCATTACTAGCTTACAAATAGAGGTTTGCGCAAACTTTCAGTATGGCTCCAAGTATAAAGGCTGTCTACTTCAGTTGATCTTGGGTTATATGACATTTGTCTCCAGAAAGGCTTTATGTCCCTGAAGGCCTTATGCAAAAGGCAGTGCAATTAATGGGTCAGATGAAGCGCAGCAAAGGTTTTCAATGGAAAAAAAATGCTAAATAGGTATTAAATCACATTAATTGTGATTAAAGGTCACATGACATCCAATCCTCAACCAAATGGGTCAGCTTTAAGTGAAGCTGTTTCACAGGTTTGAGATTTCAGTACTAGCGATGCTCACTTGGTAATGCCTTCATTGATCTCAGCAAGTCTAGTCCAATGTATGCTTGTCCAGCTTAACTTTTAGTGTTCATCGCACCAGTCTAATTTATTTTTATCACACTTCTACCCCACCTTTTCTCCATGAGCTTAGGCTGCATATATCTGTATTTTCTCTTTCCTTACTTCAATCTTCCTTCACTCTTCATTGAAAGTGGCTGAATGTGGGCAACTATCTGTCATAGCTTGCTGAATTAACATAAGTGCTGGGGTTCATACAACACACTGAACTGTACCCTAACTATGCCCACTGCTTTGGTTTATACTAAACGATTTAACAGTTAAAAAGCTCACATTTGGTTCAGAGTCCCTTTCCAAAAAAAGGCTTCACGATTATACCACGCTTTCTAGCTTATGCGAAGGACTAGACAGTTATATCTGGAACACAAATGTTACGATGAGCGTGTTCAGCCACAGCAGTCACTCCAACAGGCCATTTTAATTTAGCAGTACTTTAAGTCACTACAAAGCAGCGGAGCGCTACAAGCGGCCTGCTCGTTTTTTCTCGCAACGTAAACAGCACCCGACGAGTACGCTACGTACGCAGGGAGTCAGCCAGGTCGCTTCCTTTCCTCCAGCCAACCGAGGTCCTCTTAGCGCGACACCCGGAGGGGTCCACCCGACAATCCTTGATTAACTAACTGCCGGTGCGGTGGTGAAGTAACAGAGTGGGCGCCGGGAAACGGCTAGTTAGGGAATCACCCGACGCCAAGCCCGGGCTGAGGACCGAAACTGCAGCCATGGGTGGGTCTGGGGGGGGGGACAAGGCGCCGCACAGCCAAGCAGCGCGAGACAAAAGGCACTTCCCAGGCTAGAAAATCCAACACCATCGGAAGGGAACAGGCGAGGCGAGCGCAGCTACCCCTACAAAAATTCCGGGCAGGTTACCTTGGTAACTAAGACTTGCGCGCACTCCGCAGGGCATACGGGATGGTTACCGGCTTAAATAGCAGCATACTTACCGCAGCAAAACCGCCGCGTAATCGCGAGCGCTTTCCACAGCCATCGTCGACCACTTTTCCTCCTCACCTATGACCTCCTCCGCTACTCCTTATGAGCAAGAGCGCCCCGCCCTCCTTGTCTTTTACGCAGCAGGACCGCCCATTGATCGGAGGCGAAAGAGGGGACAGAAATCCAGCCCTCGGATGGGACGTGATTTTAGATTGTGCAAATCTTCGTTTGGGTGGTGGATGACGCTTTTATTTGCACAAGGCTGATTGGATGTTTTTGCAGTCCACAGAGTATTTTCAGTAATGGTCTACAAATTTATAATCTGAAGGCATCTCCCCTCTTTCGTTTCTGCTCGCCTTTTGCGGCTGTATATTGCTACAAGGAAAACTATGGCTTTGTTCTGATCCATATACGTAATAATTTTGTCTGCCATTGTCTTTCTCTCTGAGATTAATTTCCTATTTACTTCTCCAGCACAGGCATTGTATCTGTTCTTCATTCTAGAAAACAAAACTCTTGACCTCCATGCATGATATTTTAGATGCTTAAAGACTGCAATTATTCCCCCCCCCATTCCCCAAGTTTTTCTTTTAGATCTATCCAACTCTTTCAACCATGTTTCAAAGAACTTGGTTTGTTCTCACTATTCTGAGGACCATATCAATCTGCCTTATACAGATGATCCACATAGAATATTATTGTTGACACACATTGGCAGCAGTTCTCCAAATGTTCAGGCAAAAGATCTAGATCTAGATCTATCTAGAGATGCCAAGCTCTCTAATGGAAGTGAACTATAGCTCCCCTTCTTTCTATAGGGGAACTATAGCATATTGGTGAGTTTCTTGAACTATGATACATAGAACAAGACACTAAACAGTTTAGCACCATTTAGAACTGGTCTCATGCTCCAGATACCATACTACTTCTTCTGCTATATAAGATTGCATGGACTATTTTGCAGTAGCATTGCACTGCAGACTCATAGCCAGCTTATGATAAACTAAAATGTCTAGAGGACACTGTAATTCCTGTGAGACTTCGTTCCACATTGACCCAGAGTTCTTAATGGCTGTGTTGTTCAACTGATGTGGATCCATCAAAGAACAGGATCATCTAGTTTACATTAACTCTTGTCAAACAAATTCCGAGACTGTCAAATGCTTTGCTGAAAATAATATATACTATATTCATAAATAGCTCTTCAGGTATTCTTGATTAATGCATGAGAATAAAAATGTGTAGAAGATAGCCATGCACATCTACACCATCCCTGCATCCTTTTGTCTCTTCCACTGTGCCTATTTTTCTTCCCAACTCTGTGAGATCTGGAGAGGAGAGACGCCCACTTTTGTTTGTATATCAGTACAGCTTTCCATGCAGTTTAGGGATGTTACTTTATCAAGGTCTTACATTGAACAGAGTGCTGGACTTATATCAAGGCAAATTTTAGTAAAGTTTTTGTTTAGGCCACATGGTTTAATACAAGTTTGTGAAGAGCAAAGTTGGAAAGTGAGGCAAGGCCAGAGTGTCATTAATCCTCACACGTTAAGAATGTCTGAATCAAGCTCTGTGGTCATGAACAGAGTCATGAGCCTATTTACCTTCTTTGCTTGGCCTTAATGTCATTAATCCTTATCTAAAGCATGAAAATGCCCTTGCTGAATGTGCTTGACAGCGATGATTTTGTTCTTTACAACTATGAGTATTATTCATTGTTCTCACTAAGTTGCAAATGCTGAGGATTAATCTGCCATTATTATTTATAAATATTTAACATAATTTTGTCTTTGCTTGCTACATTTAGTAAAGGTTGACTTTTTTTTGTTAGATGTCTATCCTTGCCAAGAATATGTTCAATTATGTTGCTTTTTCCCAAAATATATGAATTAATAAAAGTTAGCATTTTCCCTTGAGATAGTCAACACATTTTGCAGGGGGTGAATATAATGTTAGTTATGATATTTTAGGCATTATTTCTAACTATGCTTATATCTCATACAGTATTGTGCCTTTTATCGTAAAGTTTTATTTATACTTTTGTTCTACAAACATTACTCTTGTACTTACTCATATTTTAGAAAACATAAGAATAGAAATATTTCAAATAGACGACTTGAGAGAATTAACTTTGTTTGGGCATTCTAAGCCAGTCCTAATTAAGTTGTCCAGAACAACCTCTTGTTCATACTTAAAATAGGCTGAGAGTAAAATTATCTGTATTAATGGATTTTCTCAACAAGTGGAGGCATGAAATCAATCAGAGCTAGGGGAAGGTGAAGGGATGCTATTTCCTGAACACACTATGATTCACTAAACTAAAACCATAAACATTGATTTGGCAAGACTTATTCTTGATGAATCCATGTGGTTCTAATCAAGGCATTTTATTTTCAAAATCAGTCCAGTTTCCAACACTTCATACGTTGTACGAGAAATCTGATATTGCAGAAGCTAGCCTTGAAATAATATCTACAAGCTACCTGAGCGTGTCTATCTATCATTTCAGTTTCAGTACCTGTCTATAATTTCAATTTCCATGGCTGTTCACTTGCATGTGACTCTGGGTGGCTTATAAGAGTTAAAAACAAAGAATATAAGCAATTGACATTGTGGTAATAAACATAATGGCAAAAAACAATCCTGCCAGGAGAAAAATACCCACAATTAAACATCAGATCATCTCAAATTTGATTGTGAAATATTTATTTCTCTTATTATTTCTATTTTTCCCACTTGCATGCAATTTCCACTGTGGGAGAAAACCATGGTACTATAGAAGCTGCGTAGTTCCACTTCTGTTATAGAATATAAGTTTGCATCAACCTAGCCCAGTATTTTCCAAAGATGGCTACTTCCAAATATGTAAATTTCAACTTCCATAATTCCCCAGCCAGAATGACAATTGCTGAGAAATCTGTGACTTGAAATGCACACATCTGGAAGTTGCCACAGTTGGTAATACCAGGCAGTTCTGGTTCTGGACCTTTCCTGGCTACCAAACAGGGAATGAAAAGATTAACTCTTCATTTCAGCTTCACTTGGAAGGCTAGCTCAGGTGCCTGGGACTAGTTATAGCATTAGAAAGGACCAGTTAGGAGCACTGGAAATTAGGCCAGATTAATTTTCAGGCAGGATGGGAACCAAGAGATAGAAACTTAGGGTGTTAGTAACATCTAGTATGTGCAGAGGTCATTTCTAAAAACTGACAAAACAAAGGTGGACCAGTCTTTCAGTGGGTTCACTTTAATGTTTCAGAACCAGACAAAAACTAGACTTGCTTCTTATTTTACTCTTTGTGAAGAGGTTTAGCTTCTTAATAATGGTTAAAATGTTTCTGTAAGCTCCACAATTTTCTAAAATATAAATATAGATAAATATAGAAGCATTGTGTTGATCAGAGAGGACAGGCTAATATAATATTTTTCAGTGGCTTAAGTGCAGTGTTTTAGCATCTTTATTGCTTTTGCTGGATATGACACTTGTCTTGTTGGATAAGGTTTTTTTTTGTATTTGATGTCTTAAACCTAAATCCAGGGTTATCTCTCTCTAATCTTATCTATTTCTCTATATCTATCCAGCTATCATCATAACGATCTATCTAATCTATTTATCTATCTATATCTATCATCTACCTAGCTATCATCTATCTATCTTTCAAATTTAAATGAAAAGCAATCCTAAGAAGCAATCTGTGATTTAAGCAGAGGAACAGAAGAATGGAAAGCAA